CTCCAGCCACTCCAACTTCCATCATGCTATAGAGAGTATCCATCAGCGCATACCAGGTGTTATAGGTACGGGGCTGTGAGGGGGTTCTGCGAGATGTTAACTGCCTCGCCTCGTATACAGGAGGTCGTGGGTTCAATTGTGGGTTCGATTCCGACCCTGATGCCTGTATATTTGGAGTTTTCATATCCTCTCTCCCCGTGGTCGTGTGGATTTTTCTACAGTACATTTATAATCAACATGCATTTCGAGTATTTGACTGCTATAAATGTTCACATGATAAGCCACTTTGTTGAGCTATAACTTGTGGCCAGGTCGCTTCTGAAAACGTTCTATATAGCTCAACGGGCCATACCTGGTCAAATATAAATAAAAAGTTTTGTTTAGGTGACAGGGTTCATTCGACATGTGGACTGATTGAACTGGGTCTGTCTGTGAATTGAATATATATGTGTGGAACTTTGCATGCACGTCCTCGCACATAGCAAACACTTATTAATAGTACTGGCCAAACATCCCAATGCAGTATCCTTGAGAATCAGTGAGGCTTTCCTGTATGAATAAAGAACATTGCTTTTGTATTCCTTCCTTGTGTTTAGGAAATAGAAAAGTGATAGCATGAACAAACCAGACAACATCTTTGTATCTGGGCCAACCAAGAAATTCCACTCCTGATAGGACAATTTAATTGACCCTCGTCCAGCAAAGACCTGGACTTATGCATCTCCAAAATTGGTCAAAACTCTAGACCACAGCTACTCACTCCTCCAAGTGCCACCTTCCCTTACCTACCAATCACACGTAATTAGAGAAAAGTATGCCTCGTTATGAAAGCTGCACGTGGTCGGAAAATGAAAGCCCTGTCCTTGGCTTTTGAAAGGGCACTTTATACATCCACTGGCACTGGCTGCTTTGGCAACGGAGCTAATTGAACGATTGATATTTTCCCATACACTTCACATTAGCGTTAGAGGCCACTCTTTTTTTTGCCGTGAGGATTTTATTTTCTAAAAAAGAAACCTCTTCCAGATGTGTTGCGTGCCTCGGCAGGCCTCACCGTGTACACTTATTCTACGAGTCCCAGAGCCCACAAGTCTGACACGAACCCTAGAAGGATATAACCCATCACCAGCCTCAAAAAATGTGCCCATGTTGGGGAAAAGGGAGCCTGTAAATTGACCCTCCCCCCCACCGCTGCTGATTTAAATAGAGAATCAGCGGGCGAGGGACACAGGGTGAGTTCTCACCACTAGGTGGAGACATCAGCGTGGAAGTGCAGCTCCGTTCAATGTTTGCGTGGCTGTGCTATGCGCGATATTATGATCGGCCTGTCAAATGAATTTAGCGGCAATAGCAGACGTCCAGAATAAACACCTCGTTGGAGACACAAACATCGCACAACCTGGCTCTGATATTCCTCTTCGAAGACAGCGGTGTAACCATCAACCGCGTGAGAACACCAACAGGCCAATGCGCACATCTCCTTCATGAAAGGAAAGTTAAAGACACGCCACAGTTGAACGACTGTGGACATGCAACCCAAACTATGGGCCAAAGAGTAAACCACGAGTCCGCGATCCTTCAACGGAGGAGGAGCGGCAAAACTACACGATGTGTCTCCTGAAGCCAGTGCCGGATTAAGCTAGTGCGTGGCCTGTAGCATATATTATAAAGGGGCCCTGAATAAAAAAACACGTGAATATTAAAACACAATTTTTAGTAGTAAAGTAATTGTATTTTTTAATTTTCTACACAGCCAGATTATACGACAAATAGCTAACCTTAAACACTCAGTCGTTCATAAAAGTTGAAGGCGGTATAGTACTATAGTAATAGAGCAAGTGCAGAATCACTGAACCGGAATTGATAGCTTGAAAGAATTTAACGCGGGGCCCGTAGCATATGTAGCTAATCTTGCTACTGGGATAATCCGCTACTGCCTGAAGCCCTCTCGTCGTGGCTGGCAGACCTTCACATTGCAATTTAGCACCTGAACATATGATCACACGCAAGCATAAGATCTAATCAATTCAGCCAATCAAACATTGTAATTGATTGTGACCAGACCCTCCTATATTGCCAGATCTTGTTCGAGCTGGGACGCTACGGAGGGTTCAGCCAGGTTCGTACATGGGATGAAAGACCACCAGGGATTTCCAAGTGGTGTAGTCACCGAGTTGAGGGAGCGGTGGCGCAGTGGTTTAGAAAATCCACCAACCTGAGTTTGATTCCAGGCCACGGCTAACAACACAGTGAGGGAGCGATATCTGAACCAGCCTTGGGCTCAGCCCTTGACACATCCCGACTGACCAGCTAGATGACGAGGGTATGGTCACCACTTACCGTGACTGACATGAGGAGTGGGGGGAGTCCATCAACTCAGTCTCGGATTCACAAAGGGCTGTGAGTAATTGTTATTACAACAATAATAGTGTACACCAGAGCGATGTGTAATTCCAGACATGTTCACGAAAACACATTTTGTTTCGTGTCAACAAGTGAAACGATTGTAGAAAGTGTTGTCAAAAACGAAAAGTCACGAAGTTTAAAATACGAGTAACCTTATATGCGTGCGACGTTTCAACGGGCGCCCTAAATCATGGCAATTAAAGTGGCGAGTTTAAACCGATTCTGAAATATATTTTAAACTCACTCGTGTGTGTGCATGTGGTCGACTCAGCTAGGTCGACTCAGTATACAATGGTACCTGGTTTTAATGCTTAAACTTCGCCACTGGGGAGACAAAGGCGGCCGGGCGTGCTTATATCCTCACCAATTTCGTGTGCGTCAATCCGCCCTTCATTGGTGCTCGCAGACAGCACTTGCCCAAACAGCCTGTTAAGGCTACACGGGGGGTCTTTGTCTGTGCATGTGTGTACACATGTGGACAATGTGTTACATGCACCAGGGAAAGGTGCCAGAGATTTTAACACGTCACAGTAGTAAGCTTCATACATTTAATTTAACATCTGCCTGAAGAGTCACAGTATCACGCTCCATGGAAGGTGATGATGGAGAGGTCCTCCTTTAATTGTTTGGAAGTGTTTATCGCGAAACCTTTAACGCAGTGCAGAACTTTATCTTTTGAAGCTCAACTTTGGAAATGTTATAAGAATAGGTTCTACCCTTTCTGGCAATAAGACGTGTTAAGATGTTAAACCACCAAACAAAAACCTTTTGCAAGGCATCATGTCTGCATTAACCACATATGCTTGTGGTGAACATGCAAACAAAAAAAACATGCTCTGGTGGTATATGCATTGTCTTTGAAACTTACTGCCAGAAAGGGTCAAATATATTCTGAAATTTTGATACTGGCAAGGGAGGTCCCATAATTTGTAAATGTTGATGTTTTTTAAAAATATTTTTCTCGGATTGTTAATCGACGGTTCATCGCTGGGCAAGGGCCTCCCTAAGCAGTGAGGCCTGGTCGCTTCTAAAAAGTATTGTTTCGTACTTTGATACTGGCAAATAGGTCCGATTTTAAAGGTGCACACCCCGAGATATAAATGCTCTGGTAGTGCATTGTTATTGTGCTGTTCGCCTTTTGGCGTTCTCTGGAATGGCACTGGTGGTGAGACTTCGCCTTAAAGAAGGCTGCCTCTGGTGTAGGCCAATCAGTTTCAAAGATAATGCCACGTAAACACATTCCTGCGGAGGGAGCTGGTAGGAACGTTGGGTTGCTCGGTCAATGGCCAGGGTCAACGGCGGCGTGGTGTATTCCGCAAATATGCCCGACTGTGAGGGCGAGCACAAGCCGGCGTGAGTAGGTTAAACGTTGAGTTTTATAAGGACATTACGGGGTGACCAGCCCCACCCCACCCAGCCCCAACCTCCCCATCCAGCCCCTCCCCCACCCAGTCCCACCGTCCCCACCCAGCCCCTCCCCACTCAGCCCTTCCCCACCCAGCCCCTCCCCACCCAGTCCTTCCCCACCCAGCCCCTCCCCACTCAGCCCCTCCCCACCCAGCCCCTCCCTCCCCAGCCAGCCCCTCCCCACTCAGCCCCTCCCCACCCTCCCCACCCAGTCCCTCCCCACCCAGCCCCTCCCCACTCACCCTCTCCCCACCCTCCCCACCCAGTCCCACCCTCCCCAGCCAGCCCCTCCCCACTCACCCCCTCCCCACCCTCCCCACCCAGCTTCTCCCCACCCAGCCCCTCCCCACTCAGCCCCTCCCCACCCTCCCCTCCCCACCAGCCCCTCCCTGCACGACGGACGGACACAATAATCCCCTGTGGGCTGGTGGAACCAGTGGATTCCTACCAGCATTATCAGAGCCACGTTAGCTCGCAAGTTCACAACAAGTACGTGCGGTTAATGCGAACTTGATTCCTTGCAAAAATGTTTACATTTGTTGGTTGAACATCTTTACAAAACTTCCCTGTTCTATTGCCAGAAAGGGTACACCACCTATTCTCATATATACGTATTTGTTTCATAACGTTTCATACGTTTGCGAAAGTTGGCCTTTGGAGAAAGAGGACTTCCCATAGATCGTTACGTAACTTTAATAACCGCGTGCAACCTCCACTAGAATCAAAGATCAGCGAATCGGTTGTAGCGGCCTCTAGCGGCCGGGGAGGTGGTCACGCCAAACTCAATCGCACCGAATCGATTCCCAAAGTCGGGCGATGCAACCCAACAAAATCGATGGATCGATACAAATGCTCGAACTTTTTTTTTCTGCTGACAATAACTTCTTGTTAAAGAATCGCGAAGAGACGACACCCTCCAAATGCGCAGCAAAGACACATCTGACTCGGGAGAGAGTAGGATCACTTGCGCGTCTCGTTTCGTGGCTCCGAGGAGGAGGTAGTAGGAGGGGGTTGATGGTGGTGGTGGTTGTAGTGACTTTAAAGTGAACTTCCTGGCATCAATCACACAATCAACGTCGTGCCCCCCACCCACCCACCCACCCCCCGAGTGGGCGGACACGCGGCAACACGGAGTCTCTGGGGGCGAGAGAGAGGCAAGCTCCTAGCACACATCCACATCTACACACATCCACATCTACACACACCACCACCAGCACACACACGGAGAGAGTTTGCACACAGGCGGCAGAGTTGTGCAGACGGCAGATAGTTTGCACACATATGCAGACGGAGAGTTACGCAGACGGAGAGTTACACACGCACGTGAGTTACACACATAGAGAGTTATACACACACAGAGTTACACACACACAGAGTTACACACAGAGTTACACACACAGTTACACACACACAGAGTTACACACAGAGAGTTACACACACACAGAGTTACACACACAGTTACACACAGTTACACACACACACAGTTACACACACAGAGTTACACACACACAGAGTGAGTTACACACACACAGACTGGAGAGTTACACACACACATGAGTCACACACACGTGAGTTACAGACACACACAGTTACACACACAGACACACAGTTACACACACACAGAATTACACACACAGAAAGTGAGTTACACACACACACAGAGTTACACACATACTGGAGAGTTACACACACACATACACAGTTGTACACACATACAGTTACACACACACACAGATAGTTACACACACACATACACAGAGTTGCACACGCACAGACTGGAGAGTTACACACACACGAGTCACACACACGTGAGTTACACACACACAGTTACACACACACACAGTTACACACACAGATAGTTACACACACACACATACACAGAGTTGCACACACACACAGTTACACACACACAGATAGTTACACACACACAGATAGTTACACACACACATACACAGAGTTGCACACGCACAGACAAAAGGGGTCTGACCGAACCATTCATCATTAACTTCGGGTGTACGGGGCAAGTGTGTGGTGTGTGTTAGTTGAACACCATCATCATCAACAACAAACCACTCGTACACACACGACACGCGTACACAGGCAAAGCGATCATTCTGTGGGTAGGCTACAAACACAACGTGCACACATAACACACTAACACACGTAACACACACAACACACACGTAACACACACACACACATAACACACACACGTAACACACACAACACACACACGTGTAACACACTAACACACACACGTAACACACTAACACGTAACACGTACGTAACACACACACGTAACACACACAACACACACGTGTAACACACTAACACAACACACACACAACACACACATGTGTAACACTAACACAATACACACACACGTAACACACAACACACATAACACACACGCGTAACACCCACACAACACACGTAACACACCTAACACACACACATAACGCACTAACACACATAACACTAACACACACACATAACGCACTAACACACACACACATAACACACTAACACACATAACACACACACACCACATTAACACACACACAACCACACTAACACACACATAACGCACTAACACACACACACATAACACGCGTGCTGCTCGGCACAAAACTACAACTTCCACCCAGCACACAAAGCTTGAGTTTAGACTTTTGAGAGTTTGGTGGTGCATGTTGTTGTTGCTGCTGCTACTTTTCGTTATCTTAGCTCTGGATTGTTGGTCTTTCCCTCCTCCTCCCCCCCCCCCCCCAATTATAGATATATACGACAACATTTTTTTTAATTTTCGCTCACGGGGAGGTAGCGGAAGAATCTCCATCATCGTCTTCTCGTGGAATCATCGAGTGTCGTCTTGTGGAATCATTGGGGCGAGAGGACTTCGCGTCTCATCCGCAACTCGGTGATGCGTCCGTTCCAAAAAGTCGAAGAGCGCCGTGCAGGTCCTGCCGCAAGAGACGCCACCTAGCCCGCAGCAGCAGCAGTAGCAGGAGCCAGATCATCCCGGTAAGCATCACCGATGGGTTCACATTGTTGTTGATGACTGTAACAATTCATCGGTCCTTTGTCGCTCAAGGTGTCTGTCGGCTTGGTTTTAAAGTGCGAGAGTTGCGAACCGGTGCGGTTATGATCACGCAAAGCCATAGCCATGGAGTCAACATTGGGGGGGGGGGGGGGGGCAAATCTTCCAGGGGGTCTGGGCCCCCCCAGAAAAAAAATCGAAATTTGAAAACTAATTTCCTGCCATTTCCTGCCTAAAATATAAAAACATTCACTAACACATAGGATGGACTTTTTTTTTACAATAATGTCTAACAGTGTATTGTATTGCATTGCTCTGTTTTTTCTTTTTTCCTTTTCTTGTTTAATTGTATGTAATGGCAGACATTAGGGATTAATAAAATACAATCATAGCCACAATCATATAAACAGAAATCTATTTTATAACAATATATTGGGGGGGACATTTTGAGCATATTGGGGGATGTGTCCCCCCCCCCCCATATATATTTTATAATTACGGCCTTGTGATCACGGCTGTTGTTCAGGAACGTCGTTGATCGGTCTCAGGTTGCTCGTCGTGTGCGTGTTGTTGTTGTTTGGATTTTATTGTGAGTTTAGTTTTTCTTTTAAAGTTGTTTTCAAAACTCTCGCTGCAGTGCGCCGCCGCTCGCGAGGGAAGACGTCGGGAGGGATTTCTCGTCGTCCTCAAGGCGAAAATGAACTTTTGCCAACCGTCAGGCTTGCTCGTCACACACGCGCTGGTGAATCTTGACCTTTCATAGTTGGGGGATCTCCGTCCTTTCAACCACCGCACAAGCACTGCCGCTGCTGCTGTCCGGTGGGGTGGGTGGGCAGAGTGAGGGGTGGGGGGGTACCTTCGCCTCTCCTCTGCTGCTCTCGCTGTCCAAAAGTCTGAAGGCACCAAACCCCGCTCCGCCAGCCATGGCAGACAAGAGCAGCAGGCGGGCCGGAGACAAGGCCAGCAGCAGCACTGTTCAGTACCGCTCCGTCTACAACAAGTACATAGGGGGCCGTGCTGGCGGGCAGCAGCAACAGCAAGCTCCCCGCGGAGGGATGCGTGCCCCCGAGGCAGAAGAGGCCACCAGGACCAGGGTCGTGGCCCCCTCACGCCGAGAGAAGACAAAGGCGGTCGGGGACATCGCCGCTTCGCCGCCGGTGAGGAAGATGCACAATGTGGCCCCAGCCATCCTGCAGCTGTCGCGGCACTTCCAGGGCTCTCCGCAGGAGGACACGTCTGCAGTTGGAGGAGGAGGTGCGCTTGGGAAGGCCGGGTCTTCAAAACCTCTGGACAGGACGTCAAGGCGGGGAACCGTCTCGCCTCCTGCCTCGCACATACCGGTGGTCAACTCTGGGACGAAACGTGTTGCTGCGAGAGAGAGGAAATTAGTGGAGGCTGCGGAGCCAAAGTTGTCTTCGTCAACGTCATCGCTGCCTCCGGCTTCTCCGGTATCAGCAGTGATGAGCTCGGAGCCCAGTTCAGACCATGTCCAGAGCTTCTCAACATCCTCGCCAGCACCTCCGCCGCTCTCACCCGAGGTGCACCTGGAGGAGGAGAGAGATGTCCCGGGGGATGTTTCAGCTTTGGACGCACAGAGCCACCAGCATCTGGGTCATGTCCAGGGGACCACAGGTGAGAGTGTCACGGGCAGCCAGGATATGAGCTGGCCTAGTGTGGCTGAGATTAAGGCCAGATTCCTCGGTGAAGGAAACCGGAGGAAACCCCACCGCTCCACGTCTGACATGTATGACCTGAATGCATTTGGATCGTCCGATGGCAAAATTGATCAAGCGCTGGCGTCCACAAACGCCAAGCCGGATGGCACCAGGTGGTTGCCCTCGTTTTTGGAGAGGCAGATAAATTACGCGCGCCCGCAAGGTTCTGGTAAAAACTCGACTCTTACTCCAGTGCAACCCGAGGACTCCGACAGTGGAAGAAGCTTGAGAAATCTGGGTCGAAGTGTTTCCCTGAGTCCCATCCCTGAGCCAAAGGTCACCAGGAGTCGTCTCGAACGGATTTGCTCCCTTCAGCTTGGGAGCGGCGGCAAGAGGGTTCACCGGGGCGTGGCGGTGGCAGGTGTGCAAGCAAGTCCGCAAACGAGCTACAGCCCAAACGGAAGGGCTTCGCAGGATGGGGCAGAGAGCTTGAAGTCCTGGTGCAGCTCCTCCACCTTGCGCTCTGTATCCTCCATCACGGAAAGTTCTGGAGCCGAGGAAGACTTGGATAGAGGTCGGAGAGAGTGGGCCACAGCGAAAAGGGATGGCTCGGACTCGAAAGAGAAATCTACTGACAGAGACCGGGATAATGCCCGAATACCAATGCTCTGCAGAAACAGCCAAAAACGTAGGCCTATTCGTAAAAAGAAGAGTTCTTTTGGGGAAGGGGGGAAGAACGATTCGGACTCTGATAGCGACCTATCTGCCAGTGCGACGCTGCGCAGAAGGAGGACGGCTATGCCGGGCGGGTTCCACGGACAAAGCCCGGGAAACGGAAGTCCGAAAAGCACCTTCAATAATAATAATCAAAAAATCCACCCCATCAACCTGGCTTGTGTATCGGGATTCGCGACGTTGCCTAAGAGTAAGGAGCCGAGAGGGCTGCACGGACACAGGGAGGAGTGGGGCGGTGCCCGGAGAGATTCGTCCTTTGAGCCCGACAACCCCGGTGTGTCTCCAGTCGTCTCCAAAGTGACCAAGGTGAACCTGCAGTCATTCTTGAACGCGGCCAACAGCTCCAAGAGCAGCAGCCGCTACTCGAGCACGGAGACGCTGACCGAGGAGGACACCAAGAGGACCTACTGGGTTTTTGGGAGCGTGGGACGAATGATGAAGAACTCTGAAGTCGAAGGAATGGGAAAGTTGACAAAGAGTAATGTGAGACTCAGGCCGAAGCTGCCATTTGGAATTATGGGAGATAAACAAGGGCTTGAGGAGCCTGGGATGTCGACTGGACAGAAGTCGCTGTACAGGAAATCTCTCTCAAACCCTGATTTCACATCAGAAACCATGGCCTTGCTTAGTTATCTCAAGTCAGATTTTTCCAACCTGAAGGTTAGGAACTCCGGCGAGAGGAGTGGGTCATATGGCAGCTTGCCCGCCGAACAAAGTGAGACTGAGGCAATGGACGGGGAGATGCTTTGCGTTGAGAATTCCACCGCAGCGAGCTTTGGAGGGAGGCTGACCCTCAAGGAGCTCACCGAAACACTTCGCCAAACGAAGATGGGTGCGTCCAACAGCAGCATCAACAGCGAGAGGTCCCTATCCAACGCCAACATTTCTGACAACTTCACGGTGCCAGACTCCTTCGACGACTCGGAGGGCAAGGAGGTCGGGGAAAACAGCGGACGCAGCTTATCGGCCAGAGTCATGGAAGCATTGGAGAACCGACCTCGGACAAAGCGCGAGGCTGCCTCAAAAGTGGCAACGTGTGCGTCGCACCAGGAGCCGCTGATTGTCGGCGACGCGCCGCGGAACTACCCAGGAGTTGGGAGCGAAGTCGCAAGTTGGGTTTACGACAACGATAACGAGGATGCCAACGGCGAGGACGACGAAGATGGAATGATGGAAGCGTTGAGAATGAGCGCGGAAAGCGAGGACGGCTTCAGGAGTATGGGGTCGCTGGAGGGCTTGCGCCGTGTGCGGCCCCAGCTGGAGGACCTGGAGGAAGAGGAGTCGAGCATGACCGACGAGGGGATTGTGACGGAGCCGGAGACGGGGGCGGTCGCAGGCCCCTACAACCGTGGCCTGGCCAAGTCGAGGCAGCTCAGTGGGGTCGGCGAGGTTGATGGCCAAGAGAAGACGGAGAATTGGCTCCGAAAGGAGGTGGCGCCGACCGTTGTGACGACGGTGAGGAGCGGCGTGGATAGCATCTCCATGGAGGGCGACATCAAGGGTGGAGGTCCAGCGTCGGCGGAGCCGCCGCTCACACCCAGCACGTCTCGGCGGCGTCGCAAGTTTTCCACCCTCGGCAACAACGGCTCCGACTCGAGCAACGGGAGCAACGGGGAATCGAACGGCGAGAGCTACCGCTCGCTCAGCGACCCGATGCCCCACAGAAAATGTCCGGCCGCCGAAGAAACGGAGATCTTTCCGGTGGACAGCAACTTCCTCGGCTCGCTGGGGCCGTCGCGAGCTGGGATAATCCCGGGATCGTCGGCCACGATGCTGGCGGAGTGCGGCGCGAGCGCGGCCAGCGACCTCTCTGTGTGCAGCGAGGAGGTGAGGGACTACAGCACGATGATCCACAACATCGTGAACGAGCCCGGCGCCATGGACAAGGTGGTCGACGAGAGGGGCAACGGGCAAGGTGGTCAAGAAGAAGTCCCTGAGCGACCCGAGCCGCCGCGGAGACGGGGGGATGGTGGCGGCTACGGGGTCGCGACTGTTGGCGGAGACGATCAGCGAGACCGAGGCCATCGCTGGGATTCCGTCGGCGCGCAGCGAGCCCACGCTTGCCGAGAAGAGAGCGGACGATCCCGGTGACCCGGACGACTTCGGCAAGCCGCGCTCGCAGTCCGAGAAGACCCTGCCGTTGCCTTCCAGCGACGAAGACTACGGGGTGGGTTCTCTCCACGCCCCGATGCAGGGCCTAGGATTTGACCCCAAGCTGCTGTCGCCACGAATCGTGCGGCGGAACTCCAAGAAGCGAAGCATCCGAGTGCTGCAGAACGAGGGCGGGCGGAAGGAGGACGGGGTGATGGCGTCAGACGACCAGTCCCAACAAGACCTCATTGCCACGGCGGAAGACGTGGATCTATCCGTGGAGGATTTAAGATGCGCGGCCACCGAACTGCAGCGCTCCCGTTCTGAAGCCTCGGCCTTCATTCGCAGGCCTCCGGCGGACGATTATGCGAAAGATGCGGCCTGCACGCCGACCGCCGGATACCCGCCGGATGGCGGCCTGGTGCAGCGTAAGCTGCAGAACCTCAGCGGTGGCGTCAACGCGATGGCACCGACAGCGGTTGTGGCAGCCACATCTGTGGTGGCTGTAGTACCGGCAGCCGGATCCCCTGCTGGTGTCTCCCGGGTGCCCTCGGTCAAGTTGGCCACGTCGGAGGTGGTTCCCACGGCAACCGTCTCCACGGCGCAGACCCTGAGCAAGAGTCGGGCCCAGGAGACGCCTCCTGTGGAGCCAATCGTCAAGGCCAAAGTGGTGAGTGCTCGGTTTAATGGTACACAGCGTTGTATCGGGTGTGACAAATGCAATTGCGTGGGTGATTATGATTATTATGCGGTGACATTGCAAGCGTCTGCTGATGGTGTAACGATATGCCGGGTCTTCGATTCATATCGAATCATAAGTTCGCGACACGGCTGTTGACTTTTGTATACACTATGTATAATGAGTTCACATGAACCCTTGCTGCTGTTAAATCCGCCGCAGTGATTATTTCATCGAATCGCGACCATAAAGTCTGACAATTCATCGATTATTTTCCCAGGGTCGTAGGTATGCCACCCCTACTGTCCCGACTGTCTTACCGAACCCTCTCTTTGCCACACCCCCACCAGCCACTCCAGACGCTCCTTCCAATTCTTGCACACTCCAACAGGAAAAGCATTGGTCATGGTGCGTCACAACCACAGGTCGGGCACTACAAAGATGATGGGGTGCCACTGTGGTGAAATGTTAACTACCTCGCCTGGTATACAGATGGTCGTGGGTTCGATTCCGACCCTGAGGAACGTATATTTGGAGTTTGGTCGTGTGGATTTTTCTCCGAGTCCTCAGTTTTTTCCCTCCACATTTAGAAGCATGCGTTTAGAGTATTTGGCTGCTAGAAATATCCACATGATAAGCCACTTCGTTAATCTATCATTTGTGGCCAGGTCGCTTCTGAAAAAGAGCTGTATAGCTGGTAAAATAAAAAAAAGTTTAAATAAAGGTCTTGTGTATAACACACAAAACATGTTGGGGCAAGTGGTGTTAGCGAGCATCTATTAAGGTCAGAAAAGCACACGAGGGGGTGGAGTGGCAAGAACCACACCCATCCCCCATTGTATCTGCAGTGCTGATGCTTGCACACTGTACCGGGCACTTGCTTAAGGCTGAGTCGACTTAGGGGAGGGCTAGGACCGGTTCTGATATCACTCGCCCACTGATCTTAGCTGCGACCCGGAATCGAAGTCGGGTAGCTGGATGTATAATGCCACCACTGCCCAACAGACAAAACAAAGACATAAGACACTGACACGTGCTGTAATGAATTGTTTTTTTTATGACGGTGCCTGTCCACGTCGGACAAATTTGTCATCATCGCCCCTTGATTGATTGCATTTTTTTTTTCACAGTGGCCAGACAGCGGCAGAGCTTAGAGCTACATGTGACACCGTGTTGTGAACGGCTTGCTGGGTCAGCCTGAGCCCTCTCTGCGTTGGAACGGCGATTCCAGACATTCCTGCACGGCGCGGGACCCCGATGTTTAAAAACTAACCCATTAACGAGCTGCACATTTCTTGGGTTTTAAGCGAGATCTGATTTCCTTTTTCATAGTACATATAAAATGTTAGCAAAGCAAAGAGAAATACGCTCCAGTGACTGCAACGCTGAGGAGCAAATTAGCCTCGTAACAATCAGCATTGTCACTCATCTTCAGCCATGATCAATCCACTGCTGGATGGAGGATGCATCTATCCGTTGCCATCTGTCGCGATCCTGTGATGCAACAATTTGTTTAGCACCTTCAAACGAGCCGATTTTTTTCAACGCTGCATTTCCACGGTGTTCGCCTCCTCGGATGCATTCCCCATTCCTTGACTCCCACTCCGTCACTGTTCTAACCCATCGGCCATCGCCCCTTTTCTAAACGTGTCCTGACGGCCAAGCCAAACTTTCATTCGCAGTTTGAATGTTTTGCGTGATGAACTTCTTTCGCACCGTACGTAGCCGGCCGTGCTACTGACGTCGGCCACTTGTGTGCGTTCTCTCATCGACGTGCTTTGCTTTCGTGTCTCAGTGCAATTTGAGGCACGTGTTTGCGCCCACGTTTCGGTTTTTGTTCCGTTTTTGTCGTGAAAGACCACGTTTCTCTATCTGTATGCCGTCCATAGCAAGGTGGCATGTAACAATGCATCGATTAAAATCGATCCTTATGCTCGTACTGCATGCGTCTTCTGCGTAAGATTCGACTGTAATCTATTCTGAAATTGTTTTATGTGCTTGGGTCCCACTACAGAGCCAGCGTTAGACATTCTACACAATGGAAACAATTGAATTGTTTGACAAAATCACAGCCCTTCTTCAAATCTGCGTCGTTTTTTTTCACGGATGTGCCGTCTAGCTTTCTGAAGTGCTTTCGGGTTGTATCGCGCGGGTGGTGGTCAGCATGCTGTCCGATGTTTCAATCCACATGGAGGGGCCTTCTTCAGGAATACCACACGTTCACTACAACCCGAAAACACATGGGAGAATTATTTACTGCATCGCTTTAATGATTTGGAGGCGGAGTAAATCATTACATGTTGAAGAATGATGATAATTAAAAAATGATATGATCTTCATCCTGCTGTGATTCGGTCAGTCCTGCACTCATGGCTGGAGAGAGGATTGGGAGTAATGGGACACTCTCTGTGGGTTTGTTTGGAAAGTTAATCTGGGCGTGGAAGAGTTAACATCCCTCTGTCTGGTCAAACAGCTTTTCCTAAATATCTCCTTGGGCATACTTGTCTAGCAAGGTTTCCTGCAGCCCAACCGCAAATCCGGGCAAGTGTTTGGCTGATGATGCCTCCAATCCTATTATTACAGTATTATCGTTATTATCAACGGTAATAATTGTGACTGATCCTTTTTTAATCCTTCCCCTGACCTCCCGATACCCTTCCCATTCCCTCTCACACCAGTCCTCCTCCGCAATTCTCATGATAGTCATTGTCCAATCCTGTTGAAAGTTAGTTCACAAGTTCACCCGGGAAGGCCTCGCTGGGTCTCGAGACTCGTTTTCGGGAGGGGCCTTGCATTGAGATTCGTGACAAATCCCAATGAACGTTTTCTCTTGACGTAATTTTCGCGTTGTGTTGCAACTGTTTGCTCAGCACGAAACGTCGAACACATCGGGCTGAGCAAACAGGTCCCCTACACAACCCGAAATACACGTCGGAAAGCTGTGCAGCAGCACAATAAACGGAGTGGCAGCTCCTGCAATCTCTCATTTACTTGATACAGCTGTCGTGGCTGTCACGTTCCCACCTGAGGATGGAAGCTTGTGTTGCCTCTGAAACGTCGTGATTTTTATTTTATTTTACTTTTTTAATGGTTTACCTACGTGACTTTACCGAAAAAACCTAAGAACACAAAAAAAACCCTACGCAGTCCCATTAATCAGTGTCAGGCATTTCATAAGTTTTATAGAGTCGGTGTTTTTGAATGGGTTTTCAAAGTTATCTTTCTGGCGGTGTAAATATTGTCGTGGGACTTTCTCACAATGTGTGGAGGAGACGGAGAACACTGAGACCCGATGTAAACAAATTATTCATTTTATTTTGGATCTTGGATAACATCCATGCAGCTGGCAAGAGAAACAGGAGTTATGTTGCAGCTCATTAAAAAAAATAAGCAGGAGACTATCCAGACACTTAAAAGACTGGCTACATTTAAAAATATATATTCTATTAGGTCTGAATACATACTTCATTAACCTTTCTCTTCAAACCAGACAAATGTAAACAATATCTCGCCTTAATTGTTAAGATCATTAGGAACATGAAAGCTATTTTGTGGATTTAATTTGTGGTAACTAAATTAATTCTGCAATCTAACTGTTCACTTTTCCTTTCACTTTGTCAGCCTAAGGCATTGTGGGCAATGTTTTACAGAAGCATTTGTTTAAACTGGCAATCTTTGGATGTGAGTTTCGACTTTTTGATGCTCATCAGTAGTCAGGCCAGTTGAGTGCTGCTGGTTAGTTGTGGTTCATGTTTATCCTCGCTTCCTGATGCTTGGACATATGATGGCACATCTAAAATTGTGAATCAAATTGAAGTCCACTGAAAATTGATTCCCCGTGACCCTTTTGGTTCAGTAAATCATCATGCCGACCCACAACTGGCGGACGTTGCAAAGTATTCTGAAACAACCTCACAGCGTGGGGTGCGAGGCCTTCATCCAGCAGTGGATTGATAAAGGTCTCTGCACTATGATCGCACTGGAGGGCGGTTCTGCGATTTGGACGTACGTTTGAGACGCTCTTAACGATGTGGGTAATCTTCTTTAGTCTAAAATCACAACGTGGTATTTTGCTCGAGGCGTATTATGGCGTATAATTCATCTCGCAAGATACCTCGATGTCGGACGTATTCAGACAAATTGACTTTTTCCATCCACGCTAGGATGGTGGTGGTAGTGCATTCATTTCTATGTGTGCATCAAGCCATTGATTTACATCATAGACAAGCTTGTGGACAGTTATCTTCAAAACAATACCCCGCATGTATTATGAGGATGATTTTGATTATTTTTTTTGGCTGAAGAGGTTGCGCGACTTGTCGAACTTGCCCTATCAGTGAAGCCAAGGCAAAACCTCGACTTAACTTTTAACGTTTGATGTGTCCTCGCAAACCTGTGCTTAGTTTATTGGCACTGCTATATTTTTTGCCTTTTCATCCGTTCACATTTCTTTTAGCTGCGACTACTTCGCGTCCGTCTCTCAAACTTGAGAGCCCACACTCGCATCGCTGGAGTATCGTGGTGCTCCAGGTTTGTATAAAAGCTGTGACGAGCAAAGCAAAGGTAAAGGTGCAGCCCTGCGATTTTCTGTGCTCACGCCACTGTTGGCAAAAATCGCCCCTGACCTCGAGGAAGCTCTCTCGTGAGCCCCTCTAAGAGGGGAATTGTCACCGAATCTTCCACACCGGCCAGACGTCTGATAAGAGACGTGTAGAGAGAGAAGGCACGTGACCTGCTCGATCGACGAACTGGCGTGCCACCCATTTATACTGCTGGGGGGACAGGCAGAGGGGGATTTCGTAAACTGGCCCATTACTTCAGCTGCCGTGCCAGGAGATCGGATCCAACCGGCAACCTTTGCCTTTTTTTTGCGACTTCACCAAGATTCCTGTACACTCCTCGTAGCGGACTGCGGAGTGTATAATAAAACTAATTGTGGAGTCTGCACAGCGTTGTAATGTAATGCGTACAGTATTTCGGGTGCACGCGCA